TTTTGAGACAGAGTCTCACTGTGTTGCCCGGGCTAGAGTGCCATGGCGTCAGCCTAGCTCTCAGCAACCTCAAACTCCTGGGCTCAAGCGATCCTCCTGCCTCAGCTTCCTGAGTAGCTGGGACTACAGGCATGTGCTACCGTGCTTGGCTAATTTTTCCTATGTATTTTTAGTTGTCCGGCTAATTTCTTTCTGTTTTTAGTAGAGACGGGGTCTCACTCTTGCTCAGGCTGGTCTCGAACTCTTGAGCTCAAACAATCCTCCTGCCTCAGCCTCCCAGAGTGCTAGGATTACAGGTGTGAGCCTCCGCACCCAGCCGACTTTCTCTTTTAAATGCACAGAGAGAAAGAAGATAGGCCACCATAGGGCTTGGATGGAGAAGGTGGGGATCATTGTACCTCGGACACATGCCAGTGACCCACCGAATACTAATGTGTCAATGGACACTCACCCCAAACTATGCGAGGCCTACTTCTCCCTGTCTAGGCCGCTCTGATGGAGCAGCCACCGCGTGGCCCAGCTAGCAGGCTAGTGCAGCCTTCTCCTGCCCTTCCCTCGGCCACTCCCTACTCATCGGCAAGGTTCAGCTCAGATACCTTCCTCTGCGCCCTCCCCGCCTCCTTCCCACCTTCAGCACAGCCAGGTGCCTGTCTTCTGTACTCCAGTGTGTCTCAATCTGTTTGAACCGCTGTAACAAATACCGTAAACTGAGCAGCTTAAAAACAACAGACATTGATTGCTCACAGTTCTGGAGGCTGGAAAGTCCAAGATCAAGGCAGATTCAGTGCCTGGCGAGGGCCTGCTTTTTGGCTTCATAGATGTTACCTTCTCACCGTGTGCTCACATGGTGGAGGGGGCAAAGGAGCTCTCTGGGGTCTCTTTTATAAGGGCACCAATCCCATTCATGAGTGTTCCACCCTTATGACCCAATTGCTTCCCAAAGGCCCCACCTCCTAATACCATCACCTGAGGGTGAGGATCTCAACATGTGAATTGGGGGTGGGCACGAACATTCAGACCATAGCACAGAGCCCCCTTTGCTGAGCTGCAAACACTCCACATGGTACTTATCCAGGTGCGCTTCTGTCTCCCTTTGTAAAGTGGGAGCTCCTGGAGGCGGAGCCTGGGCCATACTCATCTCCATCTCCACTACCTGACACTAATGGTGGCATTTTTTTCTCTCTTGTATTTAGTTACATTCACATTCATCTGAAATTTATATAAAATAAAACCTTACAGGTAAACCAAGTGATATTTCTATTTTCCCCCAACAGTGCATCAGTAAAAGTACCGGCCCTGGGAAAATCCAGAAATTACCCAAAGAAAATGCTTCCCTAACCAAGGACTTAACAGTCAGTATATAAAAAGCTTTTTGTTGTTGATGTTGTTTAACTGTTTTCCTAAATAATATTGATTCTTGAGGGATTTGGAATCAGAAAGCCCGGCTTCCAAGCCTGGCTTCAGCTCCTACTGTACCACTGGTTCTACCCTAAGGCAACCTACTCTTCTCCGCAGTTTTCTTTTCTGAAAAACTCTCAGAGATCATGGTCAGAAAATGTACTTGAAAACTGTTTGATATGTAAAGTACTATGCAAACACTGGGCATTGTTTTCTGTGGCCGCTTTCTCAAGGTCAAATTGTAGTATCACAATAAGTGCTCTGTAAATACTTAATGCTGGATTAATTGACTTTCATATTTAGTGAATGTGTATGACTTTCCTTTAATGGCTGTGGTGATTTTGGTCTGGTACAACTGTCAGAATGAAACGAAACAGACAAATCTCTGATTTTCCTCTTTTAGCAAGATTGTCTTGACCATTTATTGGTCAACTTAAGAATGGAAGCGCTCTTTGTGAAGGAGAATTTTAATATTCGATGGAATGCCCGAACAGGATTTGTGGAAAATATCAACAATATCCTCAAAGAGTACAAGCAAAGCAGAGGATTATTGGTAACTGTAACCATTTCCTGTTTAAACTTCTGATTTAAGCAAAGTAAATGAAAATTTTAGTGTAATTATGGCGATGAAAAATTTTCTTTTTCAAAAGTCCAAATTTCTAATTTCAGGTTGTTTTTCAAATTTGACAGATTTATCCTGGTCTAACAATTTACATGTATATTAAATCAATACTGGTTAACCGAATATTAGAAATTTTAAAGTGAACATAGATATTAACTGTTGTGCAAATTGAATATGACATTAAACTCAAAAGTGATTGTCAAAGAGTTGTTCCCCGCTTGCCGGCTTATCTCCTGGACAGCCTTGGTTTCCGTGTCTGTCAAATGGCAGCAATAATAATAAATAACTTCGCGGGTGAAATGATGTGATCTTTAAGCATGTGGACACCCTGCCACTGGAAATCTTTTCCTTGGGCATAATTTTTAAATTTGCCTTGCAAAATTCTAAGCCTTCGTTTCACAGCTGTTTGAACCATTTTGAAAGAAATGACTATTTGTTACTGATATTTTGATTTCTGTTAGAAATAAACATTTACTCACTGGTTATGAATGCCACGGAACTTCTTTAGCATT